TGGGCCAGCCGAAGAAGCCAAACAAGATAGGATAACCAAACTTTTGAACCTAACTGTTTCATTGTTTGCTTTTGATAATTTACGACATAAATGCACAAGGTTTCTCTAGTATGCTGATAAGTCACTGCACAGAAACTGACTCCGTGGCGCAATGGTAGCGCGTCTGACTCCAGATCAGAAGGCTGCGTGTTCGAGTCACGTCGGAGTCATCATGGGACCTTTTTTCAGTATTTATAGTTTTGAAGCCCTTTCCAAATTCTTCTTTTGCTGCTGTTTCTGTTGTTTTTGCTAATACGTTAGCGATTTTTCTCATCATTTTCAGCTCTACAGTCTTGTCTTGAATCGGATTCCACAACACTTGAATAGTGTAATCTGTCCTACGCCAGTATATGCACAGATTTAAAGAAATATCTCCAGAAACATTTGTCGAGAAAACTTTTTTATTTATTCGATGTGCAAATTCAGGTCCTTAGATTAAACTAAACCCCTTTAATGAACGGTAGTAGTAACCCTTATGTTATACACATACCAGTTCACGGGAGTCTTGTGAGGTAAGTATGGTGCAAGTAATCTAAAGATTGGGTGTGAAGGAGAAAGCTGACGAAGTGTTGCTATGGAAACCGCTTTCCAGAGAAGATGGATGTATCCTTCAGGAAAAAAAATGAACAGCACAACCAAACGGTAAGAAGAACTTTGTGTTTTTGTTGATGTTTTCAGTTGTTACCATTCGTATCACGGCGATCTAATGCGATTGGCTAATTTCGATCGTTATTGTTCCGGTGACTTCTTGTTTCCCGAGAGGTCTGGCTCCATGTTTGTAGCCATCTCAAGTGACCCCGTCGTAAGACAAACAACTAAACAATTTATTATTACTTACCATCTCGGTAAGCAATAACCTCTTTTATGATAAAATTCTTCGTTACTAAACAAATGAAGACATGTTCACTATCATATAATTCTTTTTTGAACTTCAAAGAGTTTCCCCTCCTCTAATTATTGCTTGCTTAAGATTTTGCATGTTGTATCAGTACCCAGCAGTACGCACACTCTGTGATACTGTGCATTAGCGTTGTTGAACCACATCTTTGCTAGGACCCACGTATACCACGGGTTGCTGGGAAGGAAAACCTAACCGAGAAATTGAGATTACATTTGCCATCAAAAATAATGAATAAATGACGATGACGTGGGATAAGGAATGGTGGATTGTGATGTCTAACACAGTATACCCGACCCTCATAGGCGTGCAGTTCAATCGCACAGATATAATTAAGCTCGGGTTGAGAGATTTTCAATCATAATGCCCAAGAAAGTCATTGTTTTGTAAGGTGTGTATTTACAGATGATACTGACTTTACCAAAAGAAACAAAAGGAGTTTTGTTGCACGATATTTTCAAATATAGAATACGTTACTTAATCAGTCCTGTGGTTGAATTAAGCAGAGAATCGTTTCTTCAAAGATTTATTACCTTCCCGGCTTAGTTACTACACAACACAAAGGCAAGCGTGAGCCCCGTTTGAGGAAAGGTTTTTTTTTTTCTCTCGCAAATCCTTGCCCACGCCTGTCGATAAAAACCCTCGCATTCGGCTTAAAAGCGGTTTTGCCACCCAAGCTAATGAGAAATGAATAAAGGCTGATAGTTTCGAAAGAAACTGTTTGGGGCTGCGTCGGTGGGAGTAACGAAATAATTTGGATATATCAACAAAGTTGAAATGGTAAATTGGCCACCGTAATGATTACAAAAGCTGACGTTTCGAGCGTTAGCCCTTCGTCGGAGCGAATAGAGGAATTGTGGGTTGTGTGTGCTTTTAAAGGCAGAAAATGGAGCTACGTTATTGGTGGGTGCATGGCAACGAGAAAAACATGAATAAATTAGTGGAATGAAAAGCGTTCATTGATCCCTNTCGTAACTATTTCATAATTTACTCTAAACTGATTTCTATTTATTTTTTTTAACAGGACTTGCATTGATAACAGTTTTCTTTCCTAAACTGAAGCAGCAATCCTGTATAAATATGTTTAAACTATTATTATTATTATTATTATTATTATTATTATTATTATAAAAAAGACAAAAAAATCATCCTATAAAACAGAAGCTTACGACCTAGAATTCTTGGTCACGAGCTTCTGTATAAAATTCATAACTAAGAAAACTATGCGAAATTTGTCAAGAGTTAATTGTGTAAAGTGAGATTGTTAAGGTCAATGTTGTTCACGATATTTACACTTGCAAAGAACTGACTCGACTTGTTTACCGGATTATCCTCTCCTCCGTCCTGATAGAGCTGGATAGCGTTGGGAACAAGGTAACACTTGGTTCGACTCAATAAGAACAGTGCCATAGGAGACACCACCTGAAGAGATTGGGAAACAATCCAGGAAGAATTTAAACTAGTCTGTAATGATAATTCGGTTTTATCAGCTGGGTTGATGATGAAAACTTTCCATCGTAAAGCGTTTCCTAAAGCTGACCTTTCAAGCGATACCGGTTCATC